TGGCCACTGCGGTCACCGGACCTCGCTCCCCGAGATTTCCATTCATGGGTTTACATGAACGCAAAGCACATCATCGAATTTTCGATGCTTCAAGACGCAGAAATGGTCCTGGTGTTCTGCGTAATATTACAATCATACCGAATTTAAGAGAAAACTGTCGAGAATTAGACCCAAAGTTCATACATTTCTGACTGGGAATTACGTTATGAATAAAATCCTGACAATAATGACAAAAATTCAAAACTAAAAGACGAAAAATGGAGAAACACACAGCGTTGCCAACTTTCCACTTCCCGCAAGGAACCTCAAAGCACGCAACTCTCTTCAATGGAGTATGACGTAAGTCTGTTCTGTGTTAATCCATTTCAAATCCTGCAAGAACCGCATTATTTCGCAAAGGTTGTGTTTCATTACGTCACTCCATGAGGTAGAAGTTCATAAATTAGTTCCTTAATTAAGCAATTCTAATTTCACAAAATTAACAGCTCAATTATTAAAACGACTTAACCTAGCCCGTAGCCTCCTACCGAGCGATATTGGAACTGTACTCGTGACGCGAGCGTGGGGACGGAACAGACTGTAGTCAAGGCCACGTACGTACATTCTCAACGCAAATATTCCACGTCCACAAGCGACGTGCAAGTGCACCCACCACTAGGACAAACTTCTTCGACAATCAATTATGAAGTTATTGAACAGGATTTTCCACGACCACAATCGGCACTGGGCGTGGGGACACGACCAGGAAACTGGCTCCAACGCAAAAATTAACAATGTCCGATTCCTTTGAACACGAATGCTAACTGTCCATACAACAATGGTTATTTATTACAAATGCAAAACTTATCACACGAGGGGCACATTTCACAGTCAACAAGTTTCACGAAAGCATATGGAGCCTGATCGCGTATGGACGTTACGCGTTTGGAGACTTCCCCCACATTCGTATTCCTACACCCTGTTCACGAATACGTTCTTCTAAAATAAACAAATTAGGAAAAAATTTAATATAGGAGAAAAGCTAAGGCTCTCAAAACCTGTGCTGTTTTTTCTACTAAGTTTCCGACAAACAAATTCATCAGTTCGGATGAAAACGGTTAAAAACGTATACGAGAAAAATGTCACGACAATGGCGTATTGAGAAGAGGAGGTATAGCTCCACTCATTAATCTCGGCAGCAGTTAAAGGCGAATGGTGAGCTTCACGTTCCAGCTACTTTGCACCAGACGGACAGGAGGCTGAGTGGGCAAGAGATTGTCCAAAGATGGCGAACAGGAATATATATATAAAAAAAGGTGCCCCCTGCGGGGAAAAGAACCCAGATCGTATCCTCGGATGCAAGACACCGCGCCGACTGAGCTGTCCCGATTTAAAATCAATCAAGTGTCAAACATGAGTAGGCAACTTTTAAATCTAATGACAAACTGCAACGCCAAGTTTCCTCGTAACTGGAGAGCAGAACTACGATGCCCCGCCCTGTACAATTACGTTCAATAAAAACTGAAGCACTTGGCAACGCCAAGACGGGGACGCCTCCACCCTCACATACAAACTTAAGAGAGCGACCAAGATTATTTATAAAATCAACTGGCTCTTTGGGACGCCTGTTCCACATTCTCATGGTTGTTCTCGGTACTGCACCAACTTTAATTTAAAATTAGAAAACTTTCCAAATGGGATGCGTTAAGAATAAGCACGTACTGCACTGAATACTGACAACGGTAGCTCACTCAATACGAAAAATCACAAGTTGCATTGGACGTGAAGGTTATTTTAATTTCGACATGACAATTAATTTTTCTGGTTGCCAGAGGCCACCTCCAAAAAAATTAAGGCAGAATTGAGAACAGACAAGAAACAACAGTATCTCTAAAAAGTAGGTTATCAAAACAAGTTTTCAAACACGTTTCGCACTGACAAAAACACGAGACCCCAACGTTTTGGAAGTACATACAGCCTCCACCTTCAGACAGCCGTAACCCAAGCCACCATTAACATTCCATTAACTGGAACCCCCAATTTAAAACCCGGGGGGGGGTGATCGGGGGCACAGAAAAAATAATAACTTTCGTGATACTGTTTCACACAACTTTTGCATACGAAATGTACAGTATTAGAAACCGAGTGTTCCACGATGACCAGTCCTTTAACCCTTCAAAGCCCCGTGGTAATTCGGTTTTTCATCGCCTGCTTCAACAGTCGCTAACTTCACATTTGTATTTATGTTTCATTCAATTCTCAGTGCAAACATAAATTATTTCCTTAAACACCATTAACCAGCCTCAGGGTGACTCAACACTCATCTCCCTGATGATGGACACAATAAAAACCTCTGAAATGCTAGTAAATGCCTACATACTAAACTGTGTTACAATCCACAAGACATCTTTATTCATAACCACTGCTGTAAGAACCTGAGATCACAAACAAAGTATACTTCCCCAAAAATTTCTGTATGTATTTCTAGTTTCCCCTCATCTCGGTTATGTATCGATCCGTTCATTCCTCGATTCCCCATCACGTTACATCCCTCATTCTCCAACTATTTCAAATTCCCTTTGGCACAACAAAAATAAATATTAGAATTAACTTCTCTGTTCCATTTTGTCATTACAAAATACTCTGCTTTTACAAAGCTAGAACATTACCATGAAGAGTAATGACGAGATCGCACCACATCTGAAACACAGTACACTACGAGTTTACTGGAAGTATCTGGGAGCAGAGATCAAAGGTTCCAATCCTGAACCAGTCCGACCCAGCTAGCTCGTATCTTCGCAAACACCCCCTATCATCTTCCTTCAGCTTCCAAGTGGCAGTCCGCCAACGACTTCCACCTCTTAAATGTTCCTGTGCTTTGTTATTTTGCAGCACTGAATCAGTTACTAAGGTTATGTAGCTTTGAAGATGTCTGTCTTCTAGGTTGTTGCACCATGTAGTCTAGAAGACGTGTCCTTGCCGCATCCATCATCACAACCCTGATGATCGAGGCAACAAGGACTTCTAAAACGTCGGTAAACCTCAAACCACAGTGCCTAACAACAGCGGCAACTTAAAGGTATCTTGATATATGTGAAAAACTTCACGTAAAACAGCTCATATTGATTGGGATTTGAACTGGAAATTTTACGAACCCTCACCACCGCTGTCACCCTACCTAGTGTGCACCTCATTTACTCATCTAAACATTCAAACCCAGTGTGGCATCCATTAATTTGTGCTCAATTTGCCTTAATGACATTCTCAGTTGGATTCTGTCTACGTTCAACAACCAACGCCCTGAGACGAGGCACATAAGCTGCAGAACAGGGCTCAAAGGTCATGTACACAATGCACAGAAGCCTCAAGACACGATAATGTGCTTAGAAAATTGAAATACATAACAAATTTTGGGGACCTTCTATAAAAAGTTTTTTTATCAAAAATAACTCCCTGTAAGAACTTTCAATGCCGTGATCAACATAACCCACATCTCTCTGTGTACTGTAGCAGGGTTCAATTTTTTCACATCACTACATAAACCGCATTACAACACACGATGTTTACGCAATAAAACTTGCACTACCCACAGGTTAAGACTGTACTAACCAAAACATTGCAATGCTCATACACATTCAACTTTTTTTTTTAAAAATGTTAACTTGATTTAACGCAAATGGAAGCGACAGACAGTTGATAAATTTCATGTTTCTCTTAAATACACAATGACACTGAATCTTGACACTCTGAAGAATAAAAGCTATGTTGATAAATTAAAATCACAACTCACTGTTAATCTTACTTCTTAAACTTAAAAGAAAAGTATTTTCAGATGAAGGCACAACACTAGAACCTTATTACATATATAATTAAAGTGGCCAAATTAATGAGAACTCTTAATTTAGGGAATTGGTGTTAATGGTGTAATAGCTGAAATCCTAAATGATGCAAACTAACTGCAGTACCTTAACATTTTTTCATCAGGCAATCTGCTGCAAACTTGAGTTTTGTCAACAAGCTTCTGATCCCAATAAATGATTACAAAATATTACTGAGAGCAAAACCTCATAATTTTAGCAATAAAATATACTAATACAATATCTGCTATGCAATATACATCCATATTCTATGCATGACCTTGGTAATATTTAGAGGTCTTGCAACAGTATTGAATCACATTTACTCCCAACAAAAACTGTCTGGTCCAACCTAAAACGCAACTCACATATTTAAAAAACAGTAACGTCTGAATTCGGTAACTTAATATCAATTCATGTTTCACAAGTTTAATTTCTTACTCTTGTAATATTTGCGCTGGATACATTATAAACCACTACTTTGTTTAAAACAAGAATTCTCTTTCCTTCTAGCATATGTCATGATCGACTAAATTCGTGATGTGTTGTTCAAAAATGGTAAAATGAGTAATTAGGTTGTGCAATAAAATAAAAAGGTGTCCTGGCTTACCTCTGCATATAGGTAATAAAGTCATATAAAATGGTAACGCCCTGCGGGACGGTAGCAAAACTGCAATAACAAGAAATGGTCTTGGGACAGACGCTGAACTCCAACGTGGTGGAATATGTTAAAACGATCCACCAAGTCTGGAAAGAGAAAGGGGAATGCAACCATTTTTACGTACCAACACTTTCCATCTTGGATACAAAATAATCGCATTAAAACTTTCCAGTGTTTAATATTCTGTTGAACACATAAGTTGAAATATATACACATGCATTATGTAAAAGAAATGCTGTTAATAAATATACCAAGCCTAAGTTTCATAACGACTTCCTACTTACGCTACGATCCAGGCACAGCCAGAAATATCGGGCAACTTCAATGAAGAGAGAGATACAGGAACACGCGCACGAGGGACGTAGAGCAAGAATACGACTAACGCAATAAGTCACAAATAATATTGGCATATAAACTAATCAAGGTTTGCAGTTAGAAAGTCTTGTTGAAATTTTACCAATTTAATAGTACATATTGTTTGAAAAATAAAAGTGTTATTAATTAATCCATACAAATTAAATATTAATTTCCCAGAAAGAGGATATGACATCATTCACGTTTGTAGTTTCAATTAAAGTTACGACAGGTGCCTCCACATACAGTTTCCGTCGTTGCTGCCAAGAGTTACAAATACAGACTTCCACATTCTTTCATACAAAAGCAAGACCATAAAATATGAAAAATTGTTGACATGTATATCATTTGTAATGTATTACTCTGAATTATTATCGAACTTAACGTTTCAGAGCAATGAGAATCAATATGTGATTGTGGTTATTGGCCATATATGAACTTTTGTTGGCAGTACTGTTTCCATATGGTGTGAAGTAAGTATATAGACGTTTAGATAATAGTATGCACTGGTATTTGTTCCATATTTGGTTGTAAGTGTAAAGAAGAAGGTTCATAAACCGGCCTAAAAGTAACGGTTGCCTATCGCATTTTAAGAAGCGGAATTTTCAAGTGACAATGACGTACACGTGCATAACCTGTCGAGTTGCTTTCAAGGATGCAGACGTTCAGAGAGAGCATTACAAAACAGATTGGCACAGATATAATCTCAAACGAAAAGTGGCAGACCTCCCTCCCGTCAGCGCAGAAGAATTTCAGCGTCGGGTGCTTATTCAAAGAGAAAAAGATGATCTTCATAATAAAATAACGTCTGTACATTGCAAGGTATGTAGAAAAAATTTCAGCACACAGAATGCTTTTGAAAATCATCTGAATTCCAAGAAACACAAAATAGAAATTCTAGAAAATCCAGAACTTATTCATGAGGATCAAGCTGGCATGAATGGAGACTCCCAAAAACCAAAATTGTCACCTCATCCTCAGGAAGTTAAGTATTCGCCGCCTACCAACATGGAAGTTGATTCTGATAACTCAGATGTGGATGAAGTTGACTCAGATGAATGGGATGAAGAGGAAAATCCAATTATGAATAATAATTGCCTATTTTGTTCACACCATAGTGCTAATATGATTAAAAATTTGAAGCACATGACTATGGAACATTCATTTTTCATACCAGATGCTGAATACATTATTGATATGAAGGGTTTACTAACATACTTAGGAGAGAAAGTGTCCCAGGGTTTTGTGTGTCTCTGGTGTAATGACAGAGGAAAGACTTTCTATTCTGTGCAAGCTGTTCAGCAGCATATGCAGGACAAAGGGCATTGCAAGATGCTACATGAGGGCGAAGCACTTGCAGAATATGCAAACTTTTATGATTACAGTTCAAGTTATCCAGCAGACCAACAAGAACAAAATACAGATGAAGAAGTGTCCATTCCAGTTCTTGATGGTTCTGACTTCCAGCTAGTGTTGCCATCTGGTGCTCTTATTGGGCACAGATCGCTATTGAGATACTACAGGTAAGTATTATACATTACTAGTTGTCTTTATATCGTGATCACTCTGGTATATCTTATGGCAAAATGTGTGGAATGAATAAACCCTGCAAATCACACAAAATTAAGGTTCATGTATCAGTATACTATGGTGGATGTCAAATATTGGTATCACTGTTAAGTATAGTCTTTTCATACTATGGTGGATGTCAAATATTGGTATCGCTGTTAAGTATAGTCTTTTTAAAAATTTTGGATCACTTTTACCTCTGAAAGGAGGACAAAGTTGTGGACAAAATTACAAATGGAAGAAGTAGTGGCTGTCTGTTGAACCATGTCTACCATAACTTCCCAACTTTTCTCTGGTTTGTTCACATACTATTTAATGTAGTGATACTTTTGTTTATAAGTTATCGCGTGCAAAACTCGTTGCTATTGCCCGTCTGTGTGTTGCATACAGAAGAACATGATTGTTACTTTACATCAGATGAGATTAGATCTTGTTTGATTAGATTAGATGTTTACAGACCAATAGTGATGCTGATGTATTTTGAAATAGATACAGTACATAATAAACACATTGCTTGTCTGCAGCAAAAGTAAAAAAAATATCATATACATAAACACATTGCTTGTCTGCAGCAAAAGTTAAAAAAAACCATATACACAAATATTACTGGTCAATCTAAAGGCAAAGTTAATGAAATCTAACCTAACCTAACACGCTGACTGAAAGACGCCACTGTAACTGATTCAATATGTTAGCATCTCTGAATAATACCAAAACATGTACGTGTTACCTGTCTCACGGAACATGGTGAGACCAGAACGTTAGAACAGTGTACAGAACAAGAACTAGTTCTGTGAAGTTGCAACAGTAGAATCTCTACTTTCTTTATTGCCGTGATTCTGAAACATTCATTTCAAAGAAATATCTTGATTCTGAGTTATTTTCCTTTTAATTTTGAAAATTGAATACTACTAATTCATTTATTACAGCTATTTTTCTGCATCGCTGTATTCACGTTATTATTTTTTCTGTAAAACCATTTGCAGGCAAAACATTGATCCTAACCGCAGAGTTATTCCACACCAAAAGAAGCTGCACAGGGTTCTGGCAACTTATCGTGCCCTAGGCTGGACTGAGACGCAACGAGAGGCTGCGGTCAGGTATAGAACTTCCTTATGAATCTTCTACTTTTATTTATACATTCACACATAGGGGCTTGTTTTTTTATTCAGCGTTAGCATGATCTGCTACAAGGAGGCTGTATAATAATTACAGAAACATGATAAAAATTTACAATTGATGTACTTTTCTTTCCTTCAGGAAAGCAAGAGATATCCACTACATGAAACGAATGCAGTCAAAATACGCAACTAATCTGGGAGTGAAGGCAAACAAGTTACAAAGGCATTTCCGACCACAAGTCAATTTCTAAATGGCATTACCACAAAAACTATACTTTGTAATCATGTGAAGTGCCAGAAGACGGAAATATTCATACTCACCGCTGTGAGAACCTCAAGTCTTACATGTGAAGTGTTATTAAAAATCCGTATTTCAATCATTAAAGCTTCAAATTTTGGGAATGTATGTCTCTTTTATTTTTATCCTCTGATCGTAACCTCCCACTTCTATTCCATATCAGCTGTTTCAACACCAAAATTTGTCACTGGTCACAATTATTTCCTTTCAAAGATACATTTCAACTAAAATTATGTATGCATTTCTTCCCCGTTCAAGCTAATTGGCTGATGCTGTTATCACGTGTAGTGGAGATACTGTATCAGCACATCCATCGAATATCCTCACTGCAACTAGAATAAATTACATTAAGGCCAGGAAGGCACAAACAATTAAAAAAATAACTTGTTTCCAAAATTTAAATCTGTGTACAAAATTTCACACGTGAGGGTGAAATAGTACTAGACACGTACTGTGGTCTGTCTTGCTACGGTTGCAGAAAGATATGGGGATTGGGCAGTGACGGTGATTTTGATGATGAAAGCAGTGCTTCTTACAATGATCGAGAATTATATGGGATCATCAAATTGCAGAACAGTTATTAATAGAGACAGGTAAGTGGCAAATATTTTTAGCTGAGGGCATAAGCACGCGGCCATGAGGAGCACCACACGCCCCGACATAACCCATTTTTCTAATTACAATGAGCGCAGAGTATTTACCAAAATCCTTGGAGGAGAGTCATTCTTGAGAAGCTAATGGTCACTTGTGTAACCAAATTCTCCATATCCTGTGTGACCCGAAGATTCATTCCATTCCCGCGAGTCTGTTCATTGAGCCAGATGAACCTAACCCACGTCATATCTCCCTAAGATCCATCTTAATATTATTCTCCCATCTGTACCTACATCTTATGACTGATTTTTCTTTGAGGCTTCCCAGCAAAAATTTTGTACACATTTCTCAGACAATCTGTGCCCTTCCCTAACGTGAAAGACCAAATTTCATACTCATACAATGTAATAAGTAACATTATGGTTTTGTATATTTTAATCTTCATGTTTTTATGTAAGAGGAGAAAATATTCTGTACTACATCATAGCAAACATCCCCCAAATGTTAATTTTAATTTGATTTGATTTTTTCACAACCAAAATTTTGCTTAAAATATTTGATCTCTGCAACAACACAAAAGGTCCATTTCTGTCATTTTCCCTCTGCCGAAATGTTTATGTGCCTGTCAGATGAGCCTGAATTGTTGTCATGCTAAGTGAGGAACGTGAAACTGGATCAGCAGTCACTGAGAACTTGGCTGCATTTTTGCTTGACATGCTCTCCTCTGCATGTGGTACAGAAACTACCATCAGTTTAAAAAATATATTTATTAATGCTAACAGCTGTAATGAAAGAAGCGAACTTCGAAGGAACACAAACTGCGCTTCGCAGTTACAAACCGAATGTCTCAACTCCAAACTTGACATTCCTAATTCCCTAAATCTCGGGTTCGATTCTCGACCTGACGATTTGATATCATGGCTGAAGTTTCCATGATTTTCCTCTATCCTTCTAGTAAATGCTGGGGGTGGTTTAAAATAGGCCACGACTTGCTTCAACCCTCATTATTCTATTTTCGTCTCATACAATATGTGAAGTAGCAAATAACTGAAGAATCAATCTGTCAGTGAAGTGGCTGGTTCCGAGCTGGAAGACCAGGGTTCGTTTCCCTGCAGAGGTGAACGGTGTTTCTGTTAGCCAATACGCCTAGTCCTAACAGCCACTCACCTGTACCTACTGCTGAGATCATTCGTTTGAAGCCGAAGCTCGTATTAATAGTTCATAATTCAGCCCGCACCTCATAGTAAACACATTTCGTATTTATTAGAAGGTTAATGGTGTTTGCGGAATCTGAAAATTGTAACAAAAACACTCTGTGGGCAACACGCAAATATATTGATTATTGAAGTAGGTGGTACATATTGTTACCACTGGGTTTAAAGGGACAAGACCTCATGCCGTGTAGCGAAGGATTTTTAATATCAGTGGTACCAACATTGCCGTCATAATGTTAAAGTTCTCGTAACTTCTAGTGAAAGCAACCAGCGAAAATCCCTCGCATGTGTTTGTATTTTTATTCGGTAGGTGGGGTCGGAGTCGCGCTATTCCCATTGGATGTTGCGTGGAGCTGGCTGCTGAAGATGCAAACTAGCCTGCCCTGCACAAACGTAGCGCGCAGGCGCCATGCCTCGAGGCGTGAAGGGTAGGTACGCTGTGTGGGAATCGAATACTGTAGCACAGACCACAAACAGGGTGCACCACAAAGTGTTCACCGATATCACTTACTCGTATTTTTTTTAATTCTTACCATGCTACACACGAGATATTTCGTTCACAAACGCTGGCCCTTAAAGACAGTTCATTTGAAGTACGAGAATATCAGTGAGTAGTCAACCATTGAACCATTACAACCGGTTTGACTTGATCTGAAGCCAAATTTTATTGTTACCGAACTGTCAAGATGTTATTTACAGAATGTGGCGATAGGGACATTAAAATCGTTCAAACTTCGAATCCTCCAAACCAAGTTTTATCGGAATCCGTTCCATAATTTTCATGCTGATCGAAGACCACGCTTTAACTTTGTGTACATTATGAACGTAACTAAAAGCATACTAGTAATTGCCAGACAGACGTCATAAAACTGGGATGGAAGTCTGCTCGAGATGACGGGGGGCGGGGTCACTTGTTCGTTAAGACTGTCGTCATAGCAACAGATGGGTTATCCTTTTTTCCTGGTTGCCGCTTGTAAATATATCGAATTCCTTCAACGCAATGAGAATGCTGGTATCGAATTCCTTCAACGCAATGAGAATGAGCTGGCATTTGTCTTCGAAGTGATTGCAGATGGGGGTTGCACTGATATTATTTTAACCTCGTATTACGGAAATGTTCACGTTTATACTGAATTCTTCCGAAATAAATTTAGGCAAATTAAAAGTGTAAAGTATTTTCCTTCTTAGACAAACAATTTAATCGTCACACAACGTGCTATTAAAGAAGCCGGTTACAATTGAGGGTGGAGAAACAGAGTATGTTCATAGTACTCCAACATAACCGTTTGTAACAAACCCTTTGATTAATGCTTGGTGTATTTAACGATGCTGTTTCAACCGCCGCACATAGATTATACAGTTTCCAATGTTAGGTTGACTGTGGACGATGAATTGAAATTAAAACAGACTGTCGTAGGCGGAAAACCACGAATCCCCTCAGTTAATTCAATTTTCGGGGTGACATTCGAACTCCTGACCTCAGGAATACCAACTTAAGTAAAAAATTGACAGTGGAACCACGGTTCCGGAGAATCTGACGTAAGTACGTCTTTGTATTTAAATTATATTTAGGAAATAAAAACAGTGAAAGGAAATTTGTATATTAGCTTGATAACTTTCAATAATTGTTTCATGCGATTTATATATTCCCTCATACGTTCAGCTTTAGTTTTTGGTAACTTCAGGTTCATTATTTAATACTTATATTTTTTTTAAGTTTTCTCTACTGTCTCATATATTCTGCATTACGGACTCTGTTAGCTTCAATGTCATCCATCTTGTTATCTCTACGTAGTATGACGCAACACACAGACGCAACTGTAGCGTGAAATGCTATGCGCCTTTATTTGTATAAATAAATGTTTGTAGAACCTAAACCATTTGAGATATGTAAAATCTGAAAACAGATACGGAAAGCTCAAGAGGTAATACGTATTTCGTATGCAATATGTCCAGATCTATCTCTTACGGTTTTCGAGAGGTGGGCGCTTAACGCGCCAGATGCATCGAAAATTTTACACATTGGTTCATTAAAATTACAACAAATGTATAAACAATTATATTTACAATAAAATACATTACAGATTCTTAAAGGTCCTTATTTACTGATTATTTTACATATAGGTTGCATTACACTTACTCTTACAATTCCTGAGGAATGAACGTTTAAAGGTGACTGGATCTTACACATCTTCATAACTAAAGCTGTTTTGCCCAATGACCCTTCCGCGTAGACGTAATTACGTCAAAAGAAGACCAGCCTAATTCTCTTACACGAGTTCACAAATGCAGATGAAAATATTAAATGTGATGAACAATAATAATAAATAGGAATCCCTTACCTCAAACTTTGTTCAATTGTAAGAGACCACGACGTCCACCGGAAAATATCAATTTAATCAAAACTAAACACTTAACTAAACCAACAGCACAAAATTATCTACTCTACGACGCACTTCTTCTACAAGCGAATCACAGCTCAGCTCTTTCCGCAATAACGAAAGTGGATTGTTGACGGCAGTAATGTAACACAACAATGTCGAATAAACAGATGACATAACAATTAGTTTCTTAGGTAAAGGAGTAAAGCATTGTTACGCATGCAGGTGTTCATCGGATTGGGACCTGTTCATATACGTTCTTGGCAGATGATCCAGAAGTGGTTTGCCCTTGCCTTCTTCTGTGTGTGAATGGAGTAATTGTTGGGATGCCACGGAGGAAAACTCCGTGTTGCCTAGACCACGGCCTTGCCCAACACAAGTTATAAATTCGGGCAACGCCGGGAATCGAACCCGAGACCCCAGGATTACAAGGCCAGCGTTCTAACCGCTAGACCAACGTATTTACGTTAATAAAACTATAGAATATATGACGAGGTTAGTGATTTAATAATTTAATCCGTTCAATAACCGGTAATACAACCCACTTTTCTTAAAATAAAAAAACGCTGTGTGAATGTGTGTTGTTCTCGCGAAAGTACTGGCCATTGTGCTTAATTAAGCACCACGGTATTAAGATGTATAGGGGAATGGAGGTATTGACCCACGCATTCTTAATCTCGACGCTAATTGGAAACAAGTAAGCTATTTCACACTCCGGTCGCTTTAACCCTGGGTAAAGAGTCTAGGTAGACCACAGAGGTGACAAAAACAAGAATTTTGGCCAGGAATCGAACCCAAGTCCAACCCATAGCGTAATCGCTATTCCGACTGCGAAACCCTAGTTTACTTTTATTCGGGGTGGGGCAGATTACAATTTTGTTTCTTACCGAGTGCTTCATGGGATTTAGATGAAAGAAAATGTATGTGTGTTAAGCGGAAACCTTCATGAGAAGGAAATATTATAAGACCCCCCCCTATGTATTTCCTTATAAACAGATTTGGCGTGCTTAAAACACGTCGATGCAGATTCAAGCAGTTGTGTCCGCCTGTTGATGCGGCAACTTCTCCGATAGCCCTGTACTGCGTGTGCTCGAATCACAAGTTCGCAGGCTCTAGAATTTGCTATGTCAGAGCGCGCGAGAAGAAAACAGCGTGAACGCAATAATACGAGAAACGCGTCCGACATTTATTTTGGTTACTGTGACGAATTTATTCAAACAAGACGAAGTATAGCCTCAATCTTCAGGGTGGGTATCTTAATCGTACTTTTTAAAAGTCTCCCTTTTTAAGGATCACAATGGGCCTTATTCTGAGCCAGTCTCCACTTCTATAAGTTCCGTTTTAATATTATCCTTTCATCTAAGCATGGGTCTCCCACATGGCTTTCTCCAATATATATTTATATTAATAACTACTCCCATGTCCTTTACATGTCTCCCCTATATTTAGACATCGTAACAATATTTGACGTACATCGATCGTACAAAATAATTATCTTAATCATTCTTCATCCCTCTTGGGTCCAAATATTCTCCTCTAAACCCTGTCATCAGAGACAGTCAATCTCTGCCCCTTCCTTAGAAATAAAGGCTAAGTTTACTTGCATGTTTGTAAATACGTATTTGCTTTTTAATTTGCTAGGCAGGATGTGGGGATTTGAAATGAATCACACCATGTGATTGCCAAATTACGAATCTAATTATTGTTCACGCGCCCCCAATACCTCACTAATATCGTCAGTTGTTCTGGAACAGCCTGTTACGTCAGGTATGTATGACCTGAACGTTCAATCATCAGAACTGAATTATTATCCAGTCGATTTGAAATCGTGTCTCGATACCGGAAAACAATTTAACAACAGGTAGAAAAGCCGCGTTTGTCAAGATAATGGAGATGACAGCACAAATAGGTTGCCATGGTAACGACAGGCTCAGCAGAAGCCCCCGAGTCTCCCAGGGAAGTTAGTGCGCCGGTCGTTACGGGCAACCGGGAGCGCGAGAAGCGATGGTCCGTCCTCTTTTTTTCCTGATTTCGTACTCCGCGCTTCGCCGTCCTCGCCACAGTGCTACTAGGCGGACGGCAGACAGCAAGGCGAAGCAGGGCAGCGCGGTAGTTACACAGCCGTGGCCGACTGCCAGCTGTTTCGTCCGCTCAGCGGTGCCACAACCCTGACACAGGTCTGTTTCTCCATAAATGTTGCATTGTGTTCTTGTGTTATAAGGCTGATACGTAACCTAACCTAACCACGATTCACAGTCTTACGTAAGCAATGGATTGTTTAAAAATTGAAGAAAAAAAAAGTTCTGTAATCAGAATCATCAGAATCCAGAGTCAGAGTGATTTTTCGTTTCTCTCGCGGGAACGTAGCAATTGACGATGTATTTCTCAGGACTCCGCCCTTAGTTTTCTGGTTGGATCGGCTTCAAAGGGTTAAGGGACTATTATTTTTCTTGTGGGAGATATTCAATAGAAGCATTTAACATTTTCCCTTTCTGGAAGTGCAGATGTAGCAGGATAGGCACAGACAAATCCTCCCGAGAGATCTTCAGATACCAACAGAAGTCCACCCAAGCCCTGCGAGGGCAGATAACGGATTTGCAAAGTTCTACCGGGCTGGGCATAGGACAGACAGACACGGACTGGGTCGTAAAGTGTCCACCACACATACCTTTTGAGCCAAGTGCAGACTCACTGATAATTAGACAAGACTGTACTTTAAAGGATTAAACATAATTAATCTGAAATATTTTATTACCCCTACAGTGACAGCGTGTTCAAGGCTATCCTGACCGTCCCCTTGAAACGTTCTAGACGGAGGCATAGAACAGATGAATGAGAGGACGAGAGCAGCTCTGGTGTTGCCATGGATCTGCAGCGCGGAAAATGATGTGAACGAGTAACTTTGAAAAACAATTTCTCCCCCAATTCCTACCTGGAATATTCGTAAACGGTGAGTAGCTTCAAGCTAGAGTTACGCGTTCGGCCAAGACTTATAGAGTAAGCTGAAGAGGCTAAGGATCTGAGGCACAAAATCTCAAAACTACTGTTCAGAAAGTCGGGCATAACAAATATGAACCAACCAGAAGTCACTAGTAGCAAAAATGACACGATCCTGAGCCATTTACAACTATCTCACATCCAAGTTCCATAAAATCCACTTTAATATTATCCTCACATCTCCTTTGTCTTACAAGTGGCTTCCCCATCAAAGTCTTTCATGCATTACTTGTCTTTGCAATCCGAGCTGCTGTTATTTAACAGCGCTGTCTCAGCTTACGAGGTTACATAACATCGAATGAGATGTCATGTAGAGACTGAATAAAACCAGGATTTCCTGCACCGTGTTCATATTAGAGCGCACTTCTGTAAGAAAAGTGACTTCCCAACTCAAAGTTACTTTTACGCTATCTTTAAATAAGGTGGCCGGGGTTCGAACTTCCTCTTCACCTGCACAGTGTCGTCCCCAGTCGAGGTCCGAGGTTCAATCCCCACTGGGAAACTGTTAAGTACCGCCTACTTTAGCAAATAATAATTTCTAAATTTGCTCATTGAGTGTATTTACGTGTTTATATGATTCTCACAATAAACTGTGATTATTTCCTTAATCAGCGTTAACCAACTGATATCTTTAATGGTGAAGTGCAGTGTTTTCTTCGCGGTACGGACTGGATTCTTAAATATTATTTACGCGAGCTTAGACTTGCAAGGGGTTAAGAAAGCAGGCTGGATTTGGGTCCCTGACGCGAAACCCGTGTTTAGGTACAAGAAGAACGCAGTCCCTGAACATGGGAGACTTCGAAGGCATAGAGTTTGGGTTGATCCCTGAGGAGCGTTACGATGACGTCATTCACCATTTGAGAAACAACTTTTTCGCCGACGAACCCTTGAACCATGCCGTGTCCCTGTGTCGCCCTGGGGAACCGCACGCCGAACTAGAGGAACACAGTCTGACAACCCTCAGGGACGGCTTGTCGCAGATGGCGGTCCACACCGACACTGACCAGGTGAGTTTCCGCCATCTGCAGGGGCAAGTGTTTGTTTGTTTGTTTGTCTCGAGTCGGATTCACGTTCCTTCCTTCTTTCTTTCTTTAGTTTCTTTCTATTTCACTTCCTTTCGCCCTATCGTCCTTTCTTTATTTCCCATTTCCTTCCATCCGCTAGGTCACTCGGATCACCCCGTGGTCCACACTTTAATAACCACCGAATCTTTGGACAGAGGAAAGCGGTTGTCTCTACAAAGACACAGACACTGACCAGAGGAAATTTATGACGAGTTGAAATGGGGCGAGTATGGCAGAGTTCAGATTTCACTGAAGGTGTCAAACCGCATCTACTTCAAACATGGCGGAAAATGTTTGTCAGCGTGGGCAAACAGAACACGAACTTACGACACCTTACCATAGCGTGTCTTTAAGACACATTTTAATATTATACTCCCATTTAAGTTCAGGGTTTTCCGAATGGTCTCGTCTTTTCAGAATTTCCAATTATAATGTTTAATATGTCCCGTGCTTTCAACATGCGCAGCCCATCTCATACTCTCTTGGTTCGTACAGTCCCAATTATTTTGGATGAAAAGCAGAAACTATCAAGTTCCTTCTGTGCATTTTTCTCCATTCCTGTGTCAGATCGTTCCTTTTAGGACCAGTAAACACTTGAATATTGTCATTTTTATAAAATAAGTTAAAATTAGGAAAATTCGTCCTCATGGGCGCTACAACCCAGGGTGGGTCTTGGCCTGCTCAAGACAACGCCTCCTTCGAGAAATGTCAGGGGCGATGTTCGTCCAGTTTCTAATCCTGATGTTGTGGAAATCTTTTTCAAATGAGGAAAAGTGCCTGTTGCAGATAATCGGGGTGGCCCTGAACGGGATTCAGCGCCCCGGAGACATAGCGACAGCCCAAGCCAAGCTGAAGACAATGGCTGACATGAAGTTCCGCCAGATCTTTGACCTTCTGTACGGGGTCAACAAGAGGCTGGACCTCTTCAAGCTTCACGGAGTGGACAGGATCTTCGAGTGTCGCATTCTGTCGGTGGACAAGCGGTTCCGAAGCCGGGGACTGGCTCGGGAGCTGCTGAAGCGTAGCGAGATTACAGCCCGAGAGTCAGGATTCAAGGTACTGAACGTCCCACGGTTTCAGAGGCACGACTATCGCTTGAGCGAGTTTTATCTGACTCACCTCGTGCTGTTGTTTGCAGGTGTTTAAGGAGGATGCGACAGGTCTGTTTTCACAGCGCGTGGCAGAGAGTCTGGGATTAAAGACCGTGTGTCAGATCCGTTACTCCGACTATACGGCAGAGGGCACTGGCGAGGTAGTTTTCAAGACGCCGTCACCCCACGACACGCTCAAGATAATGGTAAAAGTCTTGCAGTGATCGCCTCGCGACAGCGGTACATCTGTCCTTAACATCTCCCGATCGTCAGCTGTTGCTAATTACTTTAATGTGCATCAGTTTTTAAAACACGCACACGTCAAACGCACTAAGAACTTTACAATGAACGGTAAGGAATATCTAAGTCCTCCTTAGTAATTAGACTACACCATCAAAGTTGTCGCTAGGTTAACACTATGTGGGCAAGTTTTGAAAATTCTTCGGAATCCATCGGCTATGTACGTAAACCATCTCGCGATGTTTATAAATTCGCCGAAAATTTCGAATTAATTTCACGTCGTGTCATACAAACAAATATCCCAAGGTAATAAAAGACACGGAACATTTCAGCATTTTACGTCATCGGTGGCTTGGGACGCGTGTCGCTTGTCATCTTTTGTTTTCCGCTTCGCTATTTGTTGTTCATTTGTTTCCAAAAGCAGTGGCGCATTCTGGGTATGAAAGAATGTATCAGAAAGGTGAACAAGATGGATCTGATGTAACTGTTCGTACGTGCTCGACAGCGTAAACACAGAATATGAACGTGTTTTGGAGACGAGCAGCGATTATAAGTCAAAGATAACATGTAAATCGCGTAAATCAGTGTTAGGTTGTGTGTTGGAAGTATATATATATATATAAATGTTAATTGTTTGGTGTCAATCAGAAATTATGAAACGTGTTTTAAGAAGCTTAACCCTAACTACTAACACAAAGCTACGAAATTAATGGTGAAGCTGAATTATTACAGGTTTGTCCCATTGTTGCAGCTGGTTCATTGATTGAAATCAGCACAGCAGTAACTTAAAGCTGTTTTGTCGCTAGATGACAGCACATGCTAAAGACAAACACCGTCTCGTCTCCCAAAATTCTGTTAACAATCGGTGTATTGGTGTCGTGTTCCTCCGAGTGCACACATAAACTGAGAACAGGGGATTTACACAATGAAGTGCCGCGGTTGGCAGAACTGGAAAACAAATTTAACCCGTGGTTGCCGACACTGCAGTTGGCATAACCGGTATGATCAGGCTTCACGCTGTCAACACTGCATCATTTGAGGTCAATTGTTGTGATACGCGAAATTTAAAATAGTTCCAGACCTTGTAAAATTAAATTTATAAATTTTGCTGAATGGCAATTGTAATATAGTGGACGTGTGTTTATGTGTGCATATATTTAGGGGTTTTATTTGTAAACAAGTAGTCAATTCGATGTCGATAAATGTATGAAATATATATTTGTTAATATATGAGTGCTGATAAATACATCATTCTGACACACGAGTACGAGACATGTAAGTAAACATTATAAAAGAGTTAAATATAATTCTACATACGCTGTCGTTATTGATAAATTGTATTTAAAAGGAACTATTTGTGGTAAATAATAAGGCTCCATAGTACGTATGTTATTAACTTTGCCAAAGGAAAACATTGTGAATTCTGAATATGAAATTATTGATATTTTATACAAAATTACTTCACGATATAATGTAATCTCGCTGTGGTAAAAATGTTGATGGTAATTGGCATCCTTAATTAAATGCTGTATTAACAGTAAGGATAAATTACGTTTATAATAAAGTCTCGTATGTATAAAATTATTTTTCCAGTCTGACACTGACTTTTATGCAGATGTATTTAACCCCTTAAAATGTAAATAATTCGGAATTCAAATATTCTTGCGAAATTGTGGCTTCGTCATAAATGAAGCGTAAACAATCTCGCCTGTTCTTGAAATGAAGAAGACATAAAAACCCTGAGATATGTTCTCACAGTGGGGAAGTCGTCGATGTTGGTCATCTTGTCTGTAACCGCCCTGAAGATGGAGGAAGTATGTTGTTGTGAAGCTGATACTGATACAAAGTATTGGGTCTGTTTAGTATATAATTGTGAACTATTAATACAACAAACAAGCAACAATTGTTAGGGCTATACCGAATTTACCGAAACATGAACCTAATTCTCCTCCAGCAGTTACAAAAAAAATTGATTTCAACTTATATTCTGGCACGTCATAAATATGTTATTTTACTGGATGTTATCGCCAGAAATCACGTTAATTGTTGGTACGCTCAATTTTTGGTTTCGCCGCAGAAATTATGCGCGTATTACTTGTTTCCTTCGTTAAACCAATTTCTCTTCTATCCATGTCAATATTATCCTCGTCCGCCCCGACGTTCAAGCAGACTATTTAGATGGTATTCCTCACAAAATTCCGCAAGCATTATCTGTTTCCACAGTCCTGAATATGACATGGCCAGCCTTATTTTTTCTTACCGATGTTCCGAACAAAAAACATCCGCGTCCCGAAGTACGGATTGGTTGCGTCAGCGAGTGCATATAAGGGCAAGGTTCAAAGAGCTAGACAGACCGTTGCCATGGTAACTCAGCATCCCATTCAATCAAATAAGATTTCGAACAGCTACAGCCCAGCGTCCTAGTTTCCCTCTTCCCTTATTTATCGTGATTCCCTTTACACTCTCCTTCTGACTGTGCAAGTGGCTTACCGCCGTGTGTACGGAGAAAACCTCATTTGAAGAAAGGATTACAAGATCTCAGTCCGACAGAGGAACACTTTCGCCAAATGGAAATAATAAATCTGCTTCCAGAACCCACAAAAAATGTCGACGCCGTGTGGACTTGTAGGTACATACCAACGTTTCGGAGGCACATACTGCTTCCATCTTCAGGGAGCTAGAAAACCATAAAACCGATAATCATCACATGTGATCGCGCGGTCCTTAAAATAACTTCCACGTGTTACAACAACAAACTCAATGGAGTTATCTCACACCATATTTATACAACAGTCAGTATTTTTCCATCTTACCCCTGCTTTTATGAAACCAGAACGTTCGTTACTGCACTAAAAATAGCCGCGTTTTATATCCTGGGACAGTTTAATCCAAAGTTCCAAGCCCCACTTTAATATTATCCATTAAGACGTACGTGGGACTGGAGATAAGCTCCACGCATTCTTTAACTCCAGTATTAGATCGACGGCTCTAGCACCTGAGAGAGAGAGACTGTGTACCAATTGCATGGTATTTAGAATTTGTGCGAAGAGGGAAACGAGAATCGAACTACTCTCGTCCAATCCGCACCTGGTCCTCATTTGTTTCGTCACTGTGACGAACAGAGGAATCAATAACCCGTAAACGAGTGTCTACTGAGCACTGGAACCGATTCGTAAGCAAATGCATGTACAGCTCCACATACACGGACCTACGTTCCAAAGACCCGTGGTTCGTTACTCCGAAGAGACACTGGCTAACGAAAATTTAAATGGATATAACAACATTTATCTGAAGTTCATTTATTACTGTATCACACAGATTTCTAAGTGCAATAACCTATGTTCACATAACGAAATTCTTGAACACCGCGCTGAGCTTGTTCTGCCATCTATCCGCGAGTATTAATACAATGACGACTAGGTATCGACGTCAGCCGGTAAAGTAGGCAACTACTATTCAACGTACACAACTCCTCGCCCTTCTCTATAAAAATTCATCAATCTAATCTACTCCAACACAACGTTTTCCATACCACGCATTTTTACCACTGACTCAATATTTTTATAGAAAAAATCTAGTAAATTTCCTAACAAATGATGGGGAAATGTAAATTATGTATGGTTTGAGGTTTTCACAGCGGTGAATCTGAAGATTGCAGTCTTCTGGGTTGTTGCGCTGTGTAGTATGGTAAATGTTTACCGACGTTTGAGAGGTCATGCTGCCCTGATGACGGAGGCAGAATGACCTTTGAAACTACACAGCGTTACAACCCAGAAGACAGAAATCTTCAAAATCTAAATTATTAAACGCACATTCATAAATATTAACCCGCGAGGGCCAAAATGATAACCAATCAAGGTCCAAACACTTGTTTGATACGGCAGGTTAGGATTTTTTAATGATCTCTTCAAACACTAAATAAATTCAAAGGAAATTCTGAGTGCAGCAAGGGAACGGTAAAATGTTCTTCCTCTCCGATATATTTCTTTAAAAAGAAAAAAGTATTTCCCTCTTCGACTGCCAAAGAATACATTACAAACCTGGCGAGATAAATTCTCAGTCCATGTATTTATTACCCCAAACCTGATTCTTATAAACTATTTACAACTTACTGCTTTGAGAAAAATCTCGGTCGCAAGTTACAAGTGCAAAAATAATTAGCTCAGCAATAAAAGAACCACCTGCATAATTAACGCTTGAACGCAGACGCTCGATGATGAACTGAACATGACATGCGAAAAATGTTAGCAACGTAATACTGGAATGCATTTTCAGAGAAATAGAAAAACCTGGTCTGTTCCGACACCAAAGTTACGTAATTCACCTCAGAAACATTTCTATTGATTCATTTCGACCCACAAATGAACTAAAATCACATGTAAAATATTTTGCTCTGAACTTTCAGTTTATTAAAATGCAATGATTTTGTTCAACATTTTTGTACAGACATTAATCAGACACGACATCAAGCAGCAAACATTACTAAACGTAGAGTAACGTCTGCCGCTATATTAATATCAGGAATTGAAATTAATGGAATTATTTTTCCAACACACAGACATTTAGACCAAATTTACATAAACAAAAGAAGAGAGTGTATTTATATAAGTAGAATTAGTATAACTGCAAGATAAGTAATGTTTAAACACAGGAAGACAAAGTGAAATACATATGTACATATTTATTTATTACACTTTTCCATAGAAAAGCCCAATACTTTTCCACTGAACTACAGGAATAATTTATGCGATGCCCACAACCAAGCTATTCTCATTTCTAATAAACCACAATAATTATGACAGTGGACACAATTTCTACCCAGCGTAATGCACAATTTCTGTTTTTGGGGGGGGGATCAGGCATGTCAAATGTCGAAGATTTTCCAACATTTTGGCAAATATCGCGACTGCCATCGTCAGGGTTAGCCGTCGCATTAACAACGGAAAACTTTTGCGTATCCCCGATAGCCGAAGTTACGAATCAAACCCCAGTTGTGGAAATCTACGGACAAGAACTATGACATATATTTTATGCAAACATCGTTACAGAACATAATTATCTTACGATCCGAGAAATCCTTGTTCTGGACCATACAAAACCTGCCACTATCTGTAGCCCTGCTTTGATGGTATAGGGTGATAACCAAATATAACGACAAATTTTTTACATCATTATAAAGATACGCCGAACAAGGAACTCTGCCCTGCCTCGAACACCTCTGGTCAACAGTTTGTTACAGCGCAATCCATCTTCAACGTGAAAAGCGAGTACTATTTCTGAAAAACCACGGGTTGGGGGCGCACATTTCAATGGAAACTACGGCAGAAAACATATTAGATGTCAACTGATGTGCGACACAAACGTAAAGTTTGCATTCACAAAAGTGTGTTGGAGACAAACGATCAATGCAAGACGCTGTTCAGACATAATTACTTTTAGGTTATGGAATTAACTGAACAGAAAATGAATGGATATGACACTGTAACGGCCCGTTTGTGACGTCCAAATTAATCTATAAGAAATAAACCACATGCATGAGTGACAGACAATGTTACGCGCTACAGCGACCACAAATACCAAATACTGCAAGAACTTCCTTGGAGAGTTTGCTCTCAGAGAATTTAGGTCACCTCTTTGCCCGTAACCTAATAGACAACCTTTCCTTACAGATTTTTATCAGCGTTAATTATGTGTCCACACGCGTCCTCTCAGTTACGTCTAGAAGAGAAGGTCCTCGTCTCCCTCGTCTAACATGCTCGGTGCATCCACGTCTACGCTGTTCTCAAGCGCTAGGAGTTTCATTTTCTCCGCTTTCAGTTCGGCCTTCTGACGAGCAATCCGCTTCTTGTCCTGGATCTTCTTGAGCCTGTAGAATTCTTCTCTTTCCAGTTCATCCAATTCAGAAATGATGTACGCCAGCGTCTTCTCGATACGTGGAATGATGACTGGGATAGAACAATTAAGAGAATTAAATCGCGACATTATGACGCGATTGCTATGGACTGACGTCCTAATTTACAAAGTAATAAGAGCTGTAATTAATTACTTCTGTCTTCAAGTTATTCACCGTCATTATAATTGCACCACAAAACTGAAAAGGCAACGAACATGTCACCACTTCTACCAATAATAGTTTTTCTATTAACATTTAAGAACGCTTATGAATAAATAAATAAATAGTAAACAGGTATTACCGTGCTCAATTGCATTCACCCTCCTATTCGTTATCTTTATAACTTCATCCAGAGTAACAAAAGATGTCTGCAGTGAAGCCAATTCAACCAACAATTTAACAGCGCTCTGGTAATTTTTCTTCAGTTTTGCCAACTGTTGCCCACCACGGGCCAAACCAGCCAGTTCGTAAGTATCTGTACCATCTTGGTAGCTCTCAAAAACTGGCAGAGTGACACCTGGGAAAAATATATAAAAGCAACGTAAGATACTGGAAAATATTTTGAGGCCACGAAGTTATCTTTAGCGGAACGATCTTTCCGAAAGATGGCTGTCTTCTGGGTTGCTGCGCTGTGTAGCCTGGTAGAAGTTTACCTTCATTTCAGAGGTCCTTGCTGCCTCCATCATCCGAATGACAGAAGCAGCAAGGACCTCTGAAACGTCGGTAAACATCGACCAGACCTCACAGCGCAGCAACCCACAAGACAGAAATCTTCAGACTCACCGCCCCTTTTTCTGTATTAGTTAATAAAATGCAAGAATAAAGTTTGTAAATACCTGCCACATTATCTCTCTTTGTACGAATCTTTATCTGGGCTTTTGTGACATTCTGTAAGACAACCTGATTAAAATCACCAGTTGCAAACTTTGCTTCGGCCAACGAGAAAGCGGCCTCCTTCATGACTTCTCCCATGAGTGTCTTTGTCTGAAAGGAAACGGATTCAGACGATCAATACATCGGACACAACTGTGAAAATAAGTCTCCCTCTTTCTGGTTCCTAGGCAACTACAACCAGCTGTGAAGGTGCCAGCTTCTCAACATGGAAGCCTGGATTCGCACTCAAGTTAGTCCATTTAGGATTTGTGGCCTACAAAGTGGCAATTCTGACAGCTGTAGTCCTGTAGCTTTCCCCTCTCAATATCAATCCACCACTGCTCAATATTTACTCATGTATCATATGGGGGTTGGACAAAGGGCCTGTTGAAGGCTGAGTTCCACACAGACACAGTTTCATCCCAATTCATAGGGAACTTGCTAAAATAAACAATTTCAGTTTCGTTTTGGAAAAACTGAGGAAAATAGGACTTTTTTTTCACTAGTCTCACACACACAATATCTTTTCACTCGGTGGTGTCGTTTACCTGTGTTTCAATTTAGTCGCTAGACGATCACGACACCATGGGGGGGGGGGGGAAACTAAAACTTACACCACATCTGTCTCACCTCAATGATTTTTCCAAGTATCAGTCGGAATCTCATTTGCAAGGCATCTGCCTTCCTCTTGAGCAGGCTATGACCTTTCTGGGCCCCTTTCAGCCTGGCCTTCATTAATGTCTGGGCTCTAATGACAAAAAGTAATTGTCATTTTCTTACTGGTATGGAATGAACTTATTATAATCATGAAGTGTACAGTATTTACAAGACCTATTTTCAGCATTGCAGAACGAGATGGGCAGGTACACCCATTAATTAAAATTACGTACAATAAATGTTTTTTACAGCCCTAAATAAAAGATCGCATGACAATGCAAAGATTTACAATTAAAATAACACACAAATAAAGTTTAAATACCCTCTGGAAGGAAATACTGGCAGCCTGTCTTTTCCCGACATTTTTACTTCGAAATTCACGAGTTCAGTCAGCTGACTTCACTTTTCCTACTCGGAAATCATCGGTGAGCTCCGCTAATATTCGGTACAGACCACGAACTGAAGGAAATTTCTTCCCAACTGGAAGTGATGTAATGTTGGTACTTCTGATCTGCATCTGTAAGGTTATGTTGTGCATTTATTTAGCTTTTCATAGATTTGGGAATTGGCATGTTTAAAGATGATTTTAAGTTCTATAAAAGACGACATCCTCCGCCTGATCTGTCAGGAGTTTTAGACTTCAACCAAAACTTCCCTGATAATACAGTAAGTGAAATAGGTTGTCTTCTGAGAGAGGTTATACAAGCACAAGATTCGATTAAAGGAGATTACTTTTTGTTCATTGTAGGTAATTACGAGAAGAACGAATCCAACATGCAACCATACGGTTCGAGACAGTCAACTGGGCCTGAAGCCAATCAACGAATGGAAAATATATGAATTTACCAACAAGCATGGTACAGCTCTTACAGTTTGTTGGGATATTGTCTTGAATGCAGTGATATACCAGAAGGAAACAATTATCACTAAACACCAATTTAAGAAACTAAATTTGTGTAGGAACATTACATTGATATTCAGATACCATTAATATGATGTCCCTTGTCTTAACATTCACCACTTGTGGCATGTCTCACCTTGCTCTGCTCAGTTCTACCCCTCTCCACCTACATAAAATCTAGCCAGCAGACTATATCATCATGCAAAATGGCATCCCACATGGAATCAAGACTTATGACTTATGATAAGTGCATTTTGCTTGGACAATCTGAAGGGAAGAGACCACTTTAAAAACTGAGGCTTAAATGATGGGATCATATTAAAATGGGTTTTAGGGAAATAAAGTGAGAGGCTGTGGGTTGGATTTGTCTGTCTGAGGATAGGGACCATTGGCAGGCTGTTGTGGTAATGAAACTTTAGGTTCCATAAAATTTATGGAAGTCTTGATTTACTGGGGGCTGTACACAGAACATCCTCAGGCTTATTTAATCATGTTGGTCTAATATGTCATACTTTATGAGTAGTTTTACTCAAAAATGGTTGTCATACAAAGATTAATACGGTATAAATTTTAGTTCTCTCTGTTGTTTGAAACTTTATGATTTATATTTAACAAAATAAACAAGAACATATTTCAGACTGGGCTCTGAGAATGGAATAAGTCTTTACAGTTCTGCTGTTAATTTTACAGGTTTGTTGTTTATACCAAACCCTTTCACTGCCTTTGGACAGAGATACTGGGTTTGTCGCTGTCTGAAAGACTTCACTTGTAAGCCACAGAAACTAAACCTTGACAAACATGGAGACCTGGAAGATGAACAGAAGTGGTGGGACACGTGTCTGAAGTAAGTAGCGGAATGACAGCCTGGGTACAGGATCCTTTTGGTGGTTGCCAGATAGTGTGTTCATTTTGTTAAAATAAAACAGAATGTTCATGATATTCACAAAATCCTGCAACTAGGCTGTAGCTTAAGCCAGTTTAATCCATTCCACAGCCTCATAACCCACAATTCTAAGATGAATTTTAATATTATCCTCTCATGTCTTTCCCCAAGAATTTTTAACCAATATTTTGTATACATTTCTCTGATACCATACATAAGTAAGTAACAACAAAACTTTATTTACAGAGTAATATTCTTCATAGTCGCTGCTAGCCAAAGGTTGGGCTGACTTCCCTCAACTTCAATTTTTTGTTGTTGATTGTGGTCTAGGTTCTGACAACACGCCCTCTTGTAGGTGGCCACAAACCTTTTGGAGGAATCTGTTGCCTACAAAAGACCGCAGCATCTAAACTGGAAGCAGTACATTCATCAGAAATGTTGGCAATGACCTACAACCGAAAGACCACAATCAACATTTTCAGTATCATGTGAACTTCAAATCTGAGGTTACTAATCTGTAGGCGAAATCGAGAAAGATACCAACTAAAGTGATTTTGTCAAAGTGTAACCAGCTATTTTTAAATTGGAATCAGCAAATTCTGAGTGGCCAACTCAGATTTGGAAGCACACACTACAAATTCCACACAGAGTTCAGCTAACGTCACAGATCATTTACGTGGTTCGCCTCGTTACAGTGTTAGCCACTTTGATACCTCGGTCACATTTACCCACATAATTTCCTGGTTATTAATATCTGCCCTATTGTACCTCAATACCTGAACTGTAACAGCAGCCATGTTGTTGATCACATAACCTCACTTTAGTCTGAGAATATTTCTAATTTAGTTGCTGTGAATTATTCCAGAGATGCAGAAAAGGGAAAAATACTTCTACAGAAATTACGATGGGCAACTTTGGGATACCATCATAACTGGGATACAAAGGTAAATGATATGCGATATAATATACGACACTGATACATGGAAGATGTTAAAATAGGTTATTAATTATGTGTGTCTGTTAGTTTAACTATGTTGAGCGTGTTGACGGCAGTGAGACATTTATTCAGCCCTGTTCTGTCATCTTATTGGCCCGTGCTGCTGTTTTGTGGTAAATCGTAGCGACCTCGATATATTTTACACTTCTCTGCTTTTTAAGATTATTTATTTTTTAATCTTAAAATGTCGTCTGTTGCTCCTGTTTATTGCCTTTCTGTTAGATAATGCTTATGAGTTCAATTTTTATATGAAATTGTAAAATATTATATAAATGAAAAGGTGTGACCAGTTTTAAATTATATGAATGTATTTTATGCTTGCGTACGCTTGCAGTTTTAAAATAATATGGGAGTTTGTAAGCGTGTGATATTGAAGTTTATTGGATGTGACATTCTACAGATAGCAGAGCAACTTTTAAATGTTTTTCCTTAAACATAACATGTTTTGGACAGTCAAAGTCATAATGAGACAAATGTTTTGTAGAGTACGCATGCTTAATAATAGCAAGTCATTTTTTTTTTAAAGTTTATGCAGATTAATATATTTGGTATAAGCAAATTGTCCTGGTGAATTTAAATGGATAATTTAATTTATTTCGCAGAAGTACAGCGAAGACTCCCGTGACCCTTTCCCTCAAGATTTGGCCACGCTGTGCCAGTACGTCGCTACAGCGGTTGGCTTCGATGATTTCCGCGCTCAAGCTGCAATTGTGAATTACTATCATATGGACTCGACCCTGTCCGGGCACACAGATCATTCCGAGCCCGACAAAG